TGGTGCTATCTCATGATGGCACACCATCTCTCTCTCTCTCTCTATCTACATTTCAAAGCGTCACTCCGTCATTCTATCTGTCCTTCTGACTATCCATTCCAAGGTCTGTATGAATCGGTTATATCCAGTACGATGTTGGTGTGTTAGTTTGAAACTCAACCAGACGGTACCATTAAACATTGACCTTTGACACAGACTGCATCCGCTTTCATTCTTCAATGCTCCAAAAGACGTCACGTGCCCTTCTCTGGTCTTCCAACTAACCTCTGCCAGCTCCTGAAAGACCATTGCATTATTGCAGCAAAGTTGTGTGGCTCCCTAAAGACCCCCAACAAGGGGCATAACCCTGACTTTGATAAGCACATTTCGGTGGGCATGTCCACAAACCAGCCATGTAAACATGCACAAGTGCCGAGATGCCTCGGTTTCACGACGCATCCATAACGAGGGTTAGTATATCCATGGCATTAGCACCTCAACTATGCCCACCCGGGCAAGAGTTGCATATTTTTGGGAAAATATGAAATAAAACGCCCTCACTTCAAGCCTTTTGTCGTTGCCCCACCAATCGCCTCCCCACTCTCGGCCCAGATCGGCCGCTCATCCTTCACCACTGCCCTCCCAGGCCTCCCATATCGCTCGTTGCCCCCACTTAGAGCCCCCGATACCCACCCACCATGCACACTTCGCTTCAGTCTCCCCGGCCGGACGACAGAAGCCGGTCAACTGGTCGTCGACTCAGGCCGTAAACACTCTGACCCTGTGGAAAAAAGAAAAAAATATTGTTATGGCAACTTGTATCGCTCTTTGTCTCTCTCGCTTTCTTTCGCTTTCTTGCTCTCTTTCACTCTTTCTTTCTGGCTGTCCCACTTGTTCTCAGAGGCAGGCACGAAATCTCCCCTGCCTCTTCTCTGGGGAAAAATAAAAGCGTCTTCGCTTTACAGTCACTGACCGATTACGCGAACGATTTCAATTTCTACCGTCTTACTTCTCGTCGGCCAATCTGCGTGAAGATGGCATCTCGGTAGAATTCCCCGGCCTTCTCTCCCTCATCTCCTCCTCCCCCCCCCACCCACCCACCCGGCATTTAGTATCCACAACGATTTCAACATTTTAGTATC